GCCCAGACAATCCACCTTGGTTTCACATTTCGTAAATTTAACGCCCCATTTACCCAACACCATCCGCCTTATACATACGTAGACATTTGACGTTCCAACTCCTTTGTATATTTACACATCGATCCCACTATCTGACTTTGTTTGTTTTACTGCTTCATTCGTACCCTATTTATTTTAATCGTGACCTGACCGCTGACATTTGACCCATTTGAGTACAGCGTGACGATGAGCGTGCTATTCTTTCGTCCAGATTTGTTGAATTACGCTCAAAGCAACACTTGACTCTTATTTTCAAGTTGTTCCGCCATCATTTTGAGGTTTCTGCATATTTTATTTGCTTATTTGACCGCTTACTAATAAAGTACCGTGGAAACTTTCTGGATCGTTCATTTTGTTGACGTTTTGTGATTCGAATTCGGCTACGCGTTGCTCGTTGGTCTAGTTGGGAGGCAAAGTACTCAAATTTGTGCAAATTGTAACAAGAAAATGTCGTTCGAACAAAGAAGAATCGAGGAGGAGGGTCAGAAAGTAACCCGGCAAGTCACTGGGGAATTATGGGGGGATCTGATTCTGACATTTATAATTCACCTAGTCCCGTTAGTGCTAGAAGTTTATGTGCCTTAGATTCTGATACCGATGCTAAGATTCTTGATTTATATCTCCGTAGGATTGTAGACTTAGAGCATGAGGTTAGGTCAATGAAGCTTAGGGAAGCAGAGGCTAGGCAGCCGCGACCGAAAAACAAACAGTGCCCATTAGACTGACGCCGGAAGTGGCTCAAACACCGATCGAAGTAACGTACCGCCAGCCGCCGATGGACCTGTTCAAGGTGGAGCTAACGCCGTTAGGCGGAAACCCCAGCAACTAATAGAGATTCATTAGAGAATTTGATATTTTCGTCCAGTGTCGAGTCACCGATTCAGGGCAGAAAATCCTGTATCTAAAGCATTATTGCCGCAGAGAGGCCTGGGAAGCTATTGAAGCATGTGTAATGCTACCAAACGAACTTGGGTATAGCCAAGCGAGGGATATCCTCAAGGAACTGTCTGATCAACCGTTCCACGTGACACGGACGCTCATAGATGGGTTGCTGGCCGAAGCCCGTACAGCAAGAAACGAACCCGAATCGTTGGTGCGACTGGTGATGAGGATGCAAAACTGTTTCATTGCCTTGACTCAAATGAGTTACGAAGCTGATTTGAATGTTTTACGCACCCTAGAAACGATAGTACGATGCCTGCTGGCTGACATACAACAGCGGTGGGCAGAGGAGGCGGTTATTATCGGTCTTTGAGGGAAGGAACCGAATTTCACCGTGCTGATGGAATTCATCCAAAGCCGTGCCAAGGTCGCCAGTAGTTGCTTCAGACAAGTCGTCAGCATGAGTAGGCGAGAAGAGAAGCATCATACCAAGGAACGAACTTACGATATTCCGAGAAGCTCTTGAAACCCGAACAACTATGCAACGTTGGGGAGACCTTATCGCACCCAGGTGTTCCATGTGTCGTTTTAACCACGAGCTATTCGCATGTGAGAAATTTGTGCAACTGGATGTTCCGAACCTTTAGGAAGCAGCCAAGAGGCAAATCGCGTGCTTAATCTACTTGAGCAGCTCAGATCGCGCGCCTATCTGTAGGAACCGAAGCAGATGCGGTGAAAAGAGGTGTCAAGGAAGCCACCATACCCCATTGCATTCTGTAAGAGAAACGCAGTAACCGGCAGCCCCCAAACCCAGCGTGTGTCTACTATCGTAATCAACTGGCAAGCAGGTGCGTCTCGCGGTAACACCGTTCGGCATACTAACTCCTTGGGGGGGAGTAGTAAAGGCGATGGCATTTATAAACAATGGATCTGATATCACTCTGATCATTAAGCGTTTCGCCGTGAGGGACCATATCGCAACCATACCATCTTCCCTGACGATCAGCACGGTAAACGGTACCAAGGCTACTTCTACCGATCAAACGAGCGTGACATTGATGTCACTAGATAGTAGGGAACGTATAGAGGTGACGGAAGCTTTCACCATCGCCGACTTTCCGATGCGAGATATAGAATCGATCACGGAACTAGAAACGCGCTGGCCACACCTGAGAGATTTACATTTCGAAGGAGCCGACTCACTCAAAGTCGAGTTGCATATAGAAGGTGACGTGCCAGAAGCACACTGGGTGCTGAGCCAGAGACTGGGCAGCATGGAGGAACCCTACGCCGCTCTCGCCGTTTTCGGGTGGACATTATTTGGACCGCCTTATTCGGCCAACAGTAAACCACTGTCAATCAACTTCACCATCACCGCTGGCGACGATACGATCGAGCAAATCCTTCAACGGATTTACGAAAATGAGTTCAACGAATTGAGCGATCAGAAAGGGGGCCCCTTGGTAGAAGATAACCAGGCACTAGCTATAGTCGAAACGGGGACACTGTTAGCCCGACAGGTTAGAGGTGCCATTACCATGGAGTACGGGATATGGTCGATTGCCGAACAACGAGATAGCCCTAAAATGGTTGCAGTACCTTAAAAGGTGGCTGGTCCGGGACGCAGCGCTATGTCGGCAGTAAGCCGCAGCGATGCAACGGAACAAGCAACTGGGTTATAGAGAACGAGTAGACGCGTCACAATCACGCGGGGAACGAGTGTGGTATTTGCCAAACCACCCGGTAACCAACCCTAGAAAGCCAATGAAGATACGCGTGGTATTTGATTGTGCGGCGCAATACGACGGTCTCTCCCTTAATGATTGTCTGTTGTATGGGCTAGATTGGATCACTCGTTTGGCCGACGTACTCAACCGGCTAAGGGCAGTTGCATTGTCAGACGATATGCAAGAAATGTTCCTCCATTGTAAGATACCGGAGATCAATGCGACGCCTTGCGTCTACTATGGTGGCCTGAAGGCGACGTACAGAGCCCAGAAGTAGACTATCACCTAATCGTTCATTCAAGCGGAGCGGTTTCCTCGCATTTCTGCGTGAACTACGCACTCCGACGGACGGCCTCTCAGCAAGAGAACGACTTCATCGCTTTGGTGCCAGCTAGTGTTGTGAATAACTTCTACGTCGAAGACTTCCTGGGCGTATTTGATGACGCAAGAGAAGCCTCGCAATACGTAGTCCAATTCAAAAACCTAACTGAAAAAAGGGGAGCTTCTGCCTAACCAAACGGTTGTCCAACTCTTGCTTAGTTTTAAACAGTGTTCCCCAAACCCACAGAGCGAGTGGGGCTGTCAACCTGACCACACAATCATTCACCATGGAGTCAACCTTGGGAGTACGATGGAGCGCCGAGTCGTACAAATTCATTTTTCAACTTTGGCTACCTGAAAGAAACCCCACCCGGCGAGGGCTACTATCGTCGGTCTCCAGTTTATATGACGCACTTGGATTCGTCGCGCCGTGGCTGTTACCGGGTAAGGTCCCCCTACAACAGTTATGTCGAAACGATCGGAGTAGGATCAACCATTAGATGAGCAGAACCGGGCAGATTGGGCGCAATGGGTAACAAGCCTAGCGAGACTGGGTGAGATACGGATCCCGCGCCGACTCAGCCGGAGCAGTCAAGCGACGAAGGCCGAACTGCCATGATTTTCCCACGCGTCCAAGACGGGTCACGGAGCAGTAGTTTACGTATGCTGGCTGCATGGGAACGGTGAGCATCAGACAGAACTACGTTTCGCCAAGGCCCGGGTCGCCTCTTTGAAATACGTATCGATACCCCACTTCGAGCTAACCGCGGCCGTGCTAGACGTATGTATATCGAAGCTACCGCGACATTGCTCTAGTACATTCGAAGAACGCGTCACGTTCTGGAACGATTCTGCCATCGTGATACACTACGTGAACAACGTCAGTACTAGGTTCAGCACCTTCGTTTCCAATCGGTTGACGGTGGTGCACGATCATGACCGGACTGCGGCCTGACGAATCGATGCCTGTGCGACCCTTATCGATGGACGACCTAATTAGAGCCGAGAGCAATGTCGTACCTTTACTACAACAACAGCATTTCCCCCTCGAAACAACGGCGTTAAAAGCGAATGCAAAGACAAACCCAAAACGGACGGCAATCACACGGTGCGCATTGCGTAAGCTGAACCCTATACTGGTCGAAGGGTTGCTACACGTGGGAGGGAGATTGAACAACTCCTCCTTGGCATTCGACGCTAAACAACCGATTATTCCACCGGCCGGTAGCCACATCACAACCTTGCTCATCCGTCACCTGCACGTAAAATAATGGGCACGTGGGAACTAACCATCTATTGAACGTCATTTGGGTTCGAACGGGTGGGTGGCCGTTCGCGGAGACGGGAGTGGATTATTTCGACCCCCTGGTATTGAAGTGCTGGCGATCGGTAGAGAAGAGGTATGGGTGCCTATTTACCTACCTGCAGTCGCGCGCGGTCCATTTAGAGATGGCGCACAGTATGTCTACTTAATCGTTCCTGATGGCACTTCAAAGGCTGATCAGCTGGCGCGGAGTGCCGAACATCTACTCCGACAACGATTTGAACTTTTTGGGCACGTCTAGTGAGCTGTAGAGGAAGATACAGCTTTTGTTTTATATGCTTAATGGGAAGCCATCGAGCGAATGACTGCACTATTAAGACCACTTCTGACGTGAATGGTTGCGGAGGTAGATATCACAAGTTACTTCACATTGTCATGAGAGTTCTCAGCATACAGCATGAATCAATCAGTGAGGGTCACTGCGGAGCAACTAGACTTCAGACCAATAATATGAGCCTGGGATTATTACCGGTCAAGGTAAGAGCTGGGTTTAAGGAGATTATCGATTATGTCCTGCTAGATAATGGATCGGATACGACGCTCATTAAGGCGAGTGCACTACTTCAGTTGGGGTCAAACCAACAAAGAAACCATTAAAAAATAACTACAATGAGTGGATCAATCGAGGCAAACTTTGTCAGCAGTGCTTTACAGGTACTGCCTCTAAATGAAGCAGAATCAGTATGTGTGGAGCAAGCTGCTGTTATAAAAGAATTACCCGTTCATAAGCCGGTTATAGACGTCTCTGAAAGGATGAAAAAATGGCCCCATTTCGCAGACCTTCCAGTAGAATACTTTGATGGAGAAGTTCTGCTATTAATTGGGTGCGATATACCGGAGGTGCATTGGGTACTCGATCAAAGGCTCGGTGGTCGAAAGAATCCTTATGCAGTTTGGACGCTATTAGGTTGGGTGATTTTCGGACTTTCAAGTTTCGCTTCGTATGAAATGAAATTGGTCAACTGCTTGGCTGCAGAAGACTCAAATTTAATGCATCAGGTAATGCGAATGTACGAAGCAGAATTTACAGACGCTCAGTTATTAGATCAAGGCATTTCCGTAGACGATACGGAGACTATCGCTATTGTAAAGTCCGGTACAATGTTCGTCGTTGGGCACCTCGTGGTCCCTCTCTCATGGAAGACGTGTCAATACCGGTATGGGAAACCAAATGTCAGCGATCTCGAGGTTAAACAGCCTAAAGCGGCGCTTAATTAATGACGAGGCGCTACGATTCCGTTACGCACAAACGATGAAGAAGGAGGGATATGCCGTTCCAGTTCCAGGGGAACAGTTACACTGGAACTTTCATCCGCGTTGGTACCTGCCTCATCATGCAGTACTAAACCCAAAAATGCCGGAAAAGCTGCGTATAGTATTAGTTTGTGCGGCCAAATACAAGGGGCAATCGTTCAATCAAGGTCCAAACACCACCACGAACCTAGTGGGTATACGTTTGCGATTCCGTAAGGAACGTGTAGCTGGTACAGCTGACATAGAAGATATGTTTATGCAAGTGAAGGTGCCAAAACATGATAGAGGCACTCTGAGGTTTCTCCGGTGGCCACAGGCCACAGGATCCCGAGGAATATCAAATGACACTTCATCCGTTTAGTGCAATTTCTTCCCCATTTTGTCCTGATTTTGCCTTGAACAGGGCTGCAAGAGAATTCGGTAGCGGTTATAGGCGTGCGGTGCTAAAATCCATAGCAGAAAACTTCGACGTTGATGACTGTCTTGCATCGTTCACGACATGTGATGAAGCCTTACGTTTTGCGAAGTAAATAACCGAACTATTGGGAAGAGGTGGTTTTAAACTGAGAAGGTGGTCATCAAATTCATCCGGACTTGAAGAATCCCTTTCGGAAGACAGCACGAGTGCCAACTGCCTCAATTTGATTTCATTTGTCAGAGAGCCTTAGGCGTGCAGTGGGACACAACAAGAGATGGTTTTACGTTCCAGTTCCAGCTACTAGATAAGCCGGTAAGACGTATATTATCCAGCGTCAGTTCGTGGCCTGAACCGCTAGGTCTGGTAGCCCCTCTGTGCCTCCCAGCATAACAATTGCTGCAAACCTTGTGTAAACCTAAAATGGGTTGGGACCAACCTCTCATTGCTGTAGATGCCAGTATTTGGGAAAGCTGGGTACGCCATTTTAGTTGTCTAGAAGTGATTGAAATTCTAAGAAGGGCTCTATCGGAGATGTTCAGCGAGGGTTTGTACTGGACGGATTCAATGATTGTCAAATATTATATAGAAAATAGTTCAACACGTTTTAGTATATTCGTTGCCAATCGGTTAGCAATTATCCATCAGTACTCCATGGTGTCCCAATGGCGTTACATCCGGTCCGAACAAAATATCGCTGACCTTCCTTCGAGAGGTATATCAACAAAAAGAGAACTCGAGTCATGGTTAGAGTGGCCGATGTTCTTAAAGGGCTATATTTCACAGGCATTGTCTCCATTACCGTAACCACCGGATGGCGTAGAGATGAAGAAAATTGTAGTACGCGTGAACACAGCTGTTTTTTCGATAAAACTAGAACAACTTCTGCATCGTTACTCTCAATGGTCAAACCTTTTAAAGTTATTTGCATGGATTATCATCCACTAAGCCCTCGTGCACATGCTGACCAGGCAGCATTGTTCACTATTACACC